TTTTTCAGAATTCGCTAAGGAACTTCTATGAACAAGTTATGAAATGGGATATGAACCAAATATATGATTTCAAGATACTTCAAAATAAAAATCAAGTAAGTAATAATTTAATTCTTGTTAGATAATTTATACTAATAAATTCATATAAATATTGATATGCATTTAAATTGATATTTTTTATGAAACGGAACTAGTAGTTCCAAGTTTCAAAACTGGATATGTTTTTTAGAGAAATTATAAATCAGAATACGACAAATTATAGTCTCAGCCTAAATTCCAACTACTACACATATGAATTTCTCCGAGTGTCTTTGGTTTTTAGCCGAACTTGTTCCAGGCCGTCAGCACGGACAGCCCGATCAGCAGAGCTGCACTGAAAATGCTGCCAGCTGTTGAGCCGGAGGATGAGCTGGATGTATTATTGTTGCTATCGGTGGACTGGGTGCTAGTAGGTGCTGGGCTACTGGGACTGGGAATGGGTGTGGCCTGGGCTATGGGGGAATTAAAAGTGGAGTGAGTGGAGGAGGAGGGGGAGGAGGGTACTGAGGAACAGGAACCTTTGGAAGCGGAACCACAACCAGTGTCAGGCGTTTGGGAGCGGCAGGAGCTAGTTACAGAAGCGTTGCCAAATTGCAGATTATGACTAACAAGTTTCGCGGTATTCGAGCGATAACGATAACGATTGGCAGCCAAGGGGGCGGCTATCGGCTGCTGGTCCTTGGCTAACTCACCCTGGACAGACGGCGGCAGCCGGGACACCTTGTACGTCTTCACAATGGTCGACTTCTTGGTGGCGCTGCACTGTGCATTGTCCGTGGCGCTCTCGTTCCTCTCCTGCTGCTCGTGCCGCTCCACTTGGCCTCCCTCCAGCTGCTCGCAGCTGCTGAACTTGGCGAATTCGCGCAAATGGCGCGGCAGCTCGCGGAGATTCGCCTCCGCCTGGCCCTCGAGCACACGCACTGGCGGCACCGGCTCCCCATCCACGTCGGACTCCGCCTTGCCCTGCACCGGCTGCGACTCGGCGCCGCTCTCCCAGTCACTGTCCGCGGGCATGGCCAGCTTGTGGCGCCGTTCCTTGACCCGATTGAGGAACTCGTCGCTAATGTTCGCCTGCTCCTCGGTGGCGTGCTGCTGCTCATCCTCGATCTTCGAGATCTTGATGATCTTGTGCTGGCGCCGCTCCTCGCGCTCCGCCACCTTGTGCATCCACTCCTCGGCCATCTGCTGGCGGAACACCTCGTCCTCGCTCAGCGTCGGCAGCTTCGGCGCCGGCCGGTAGCTCTCGCGTCGCGGCGGCGGCGCCTGCAACACGGTGGGCGCCCGCTCCATCTCCTCCATGAGCCGCCGACGCTCCTGCTGCAGCCGCTCAAACTCCAGCTTCAGCTCCTCCTCCTTGCTCAGTATATACTTCAGCTGCTGTTCGTGCAGCTCGCGCGGCAGCGAGGCGCGTCGCTGCTGCCGGTCGTAGGCAGGAGGCTGGCCCGAGTGCGGCGTCTGTGGCGCCGGCGAGACGCCACGCCTGGAGGTGGTGCTGATGTACGTGGGATTAGGATTGCGCTCAATCATCGAGTAGCAGCTGGCGTAGTGCGGTCGCTGCTGCTGCGGCGCCTGCTGCAGCATGGGCGCATGCCTCCTGCCGCCTCCGTACGCATTGAAGCCATCGTAGCTGCTGCTGCTGGACAGATCGTTCGTGCTGGCCGAGAGCCGTGGAGCGCGTATCGCGCTGTGCGGCTGTCGCTGCCGCTGATAGCAGATCTCCACCTCGCGCGCGAACGGACGCGCAATGTTCTCCGAGTAGCCCAGGTCGTTGGCATAGCGCGCCCAGTCGTCCTGCTGCTGGCGCGGATAGTGCTCCGCGGACGTGTGCGGCCGCTGCCCGCCGTTCTCGCTGAGATTGCACAGCGACTCGGAGCGACGGCTCCGGTAGTCCGGCGCCAGCTCAACGGGTATCTCCACAGTGCGCGGCACCGAGGACAGGCGCTCCTGCCGCGACCTGGCCGAGCGCTCGATCTCGCGCTCCAGCTCCTGCATGTGCGCATGTCGCTGACGCTTCAGCTGCTCCTGCTGGCAACTGTTGCTGCCGTTGCCATTGCTGCTGCTGCTGTTGGTCAACCGACTGAGATCGTAGAGCGAGGCAGATTTGTCGCGCTGCTGCCGCTGCTCGCGTCCCGTTTGCAGCTCGGCATTCAGCTGCTGGGAGAGGGCGTCAAAGTCCTTGAAGAGCTTTTCATTGTCCGGCGAAGGCTGCGCAATTGCGTCGAGCGCTGCTTTGGCACGTTGCCGAAATTCCTCATAAGTGCCGCTGCCAGTGTTCACCTTGGCGTGGCTGCCAGCTGTAGATGTTGCTGTTGTTGTCTGGCTGCTCTCTTTATGTTGCTGCTGTTGCTGTTGCTGCTGCTGTGCGTCATCGTTGAAAGTGTTTGACAAGCCATTTAATTTCGTTGCTGACATAATATTAGCTGCTGCCGGCGGTGGCGGCACAGGGGGCGGTGCACAATCCACCTCATCCACTGTTGTTGCTGCTGCTGCTGCTGCTGTTGCAACTGTTGCTGCCTGCTTATCATTGCCAGTCAGCGGCTCGCCCTCTTCCCGCTGCTCGCGCTTGCTCCTGCTGCTGTCGTAGACCACTTGTCCGTTCTCCACACGCTTCTGGGACTCGTACGAGCTCGTCTCAATGTTCGAGTAGCGTTTGCTCTGCGCCGGCAGCAACTGTTGCCGGCTGCTCGACTCAATGTTGGAGAATCGCTTGCGTTGCTCCGCGAAAATGTCGCCCTGCTGCGCGATGCTCGGAAACATGCGCGCCAATTCACTCTCCATGCTGGCTGGAAATTTGCTGCCGTTCATGTAGTTGCTGTTGCTGCTGTGACTCTGACTGTGACTGTGACTGTGGCTGTGGCTGTGGCTGTGGCTGCTGCTGCTGCTGATGTTGCTGCTGTGTTTGCTCGACTGCTCGAATGCGTAAGGCAGCGACTGATCAGCTGCTGCTGCTCTTGGTTTATTTTCATATGATGATGTCGCTGGCGCTGCTGCTGTTGCTGTCGTTGTTGTTGCTGTTGTTGCTGTTGTTGCTGTTGCTGCCGTGTCTCTCATTGGCAGGCTTGCGTCATCTGGCTGTTGCTGTTGCTGCTGCTGCTGTTGGCTCTTTGCCTTGGCCGCTGTCTCAGCGCTCTTCACAGGCACCGGCGGCGGCTGCTGCTGTTGCCGCTGCTGTTGCTGCTGCTGCGGCGTTGGCGATGTTGGCGTGGGCGTTAGACTCTTGCGCAACTCGCGCATTTTGGCCGCCGTTTTGAGTATCTGCTGCTGCTCCGCATTCAGTTGGGCCTCGTCCATGGCGCGCACCTGTTCGCTGCTCAGCTCGTGATAGCCGCGACGCTGCACGAATTTCTCGTGCGCATCCAGCAGCTGATCGGCCGCCGGCTGCAACTGTTGCTGCTGTGCCAGGGCGCGCTGTGCGGGCGACAGGCACACAAGCAGCTGAGGATCCGCCTGCGTGGGCACACCCAGCCAGGCATCCTGCTGCTCAGCCTGGACCTGATTCAGCGACAGCTGCAGCTCGCTTATATGAGGCAGCTGAGGCAGAGGATAAGGCATGTTCGATTGCTGCTGTTGCTGCTGCTGTGGTTGCTGTTGCTGCTGTTGCTGTATATTTTGTGCCACGCTTGCGAGCTCTTCAAGCATCTGCTCGCCATAGGGCATGGAGGCCAAGGTCTCGGTGCATAGCAGACGCAATTTCTTGATGCGATCCGCTTCCGCTTGCTCAGCTGAAATTGTGGAAATGGCTGAATGTTGGCGCTGGGGTGGAGTGGGTGGAGTGGATGCTGTGGGTGCTGTGGGCGGTGGCTGTGGGGCTAGTGTGTGTGGTGTGGGTGGTGGTGAGGCCATGTTAATGGCGGTGCATTGGCTGTGCTGTGTGCTGTCCGAGCAGTGCGAATCGTTCGACTCTTGCCGCGAGAGCAACAAGGGATTCACTTTGGCATGCAAATCAAATTGTGATTGCTGTTGCTCTAGCTGCTGCTGTTGTTGTTGCTGTTGTGTGGTTGGGGTATAGTGCATGCAGCTGGGTGGTGGTGGCACAGGCGGCGGCGTGGGTGATAACCTACAATGCAATTCACTTGGCTGCTGTTGCTGCTGCAGCTGTTGCTGTTGCTGTTCGGTAGCAGCAGCAACAAAACGCGACGCGATTTCGTTTCCGTTAACGTCTGCACTTACGCTCCCGTTACCGTTAACGTTCCCGTTCCCGTTTCCGTTGCCATTGCCGTTCGCATTTCCGTTTCCGCTTCCGCTCTGCTCGCGTCGCGTCATTTCGATCAATTCGCGCACTTTGTCCATATTGCGTACGAATGCCTCGCGCGTGGCCGCCAGCGAAGCGGTTGCAGTCGAACTGTTGGCCAATTTGCTCGCCTCGCCTTCGTTGGCCACAGCGTGCGTGGGCGACGTCGCTGCTGGCGTCGCTGTCGACGTCGCTGTCGCCGTTAGCGTTGCCTGCTCTGGCAATGGGGACTGAGCGTTAACAGGTGTGCTCTCGCGACTCGACGACTGCTCGGCCGCAGTTGTTGCCTCCGTTTCCGTGTCCACTTCCGTTTCGACCTGCAATTGTTGTTGCTGTACTTGTGTATCGCTATTCGGATTCGCTATTAGAATTGCCTGTTAGATTCTTACGCACAAAACCAAAAAAAATAAATAAATAAACTGAACCATAAACGTGGCGCACTTTGCGTTCAATTGCGTATTTGAGTGACCCAAATTTCTAGAATTTTTTAGCCAACAAAACAAAGCAATTTAAGAGCCATTTCATGTGAAGCCTATTCCATTCACACTCTCTATAAAACTATGGAATTTTTTTTGGGATTTTCAAAAAAATACTATATACTGTTAAATACTATATGTTTGTATAATAGTTCTGCTCTTTCACTTATATTCTCCTTGCAAATTTGCTCTCTGATTTAGTCTGTTTTATATACTTTTTATAGATTCTCTGCTTAGATGGACAACAGATGCAAACACTAAAATTTCCTCGAAAATTAAACTTGTAACTATGCATTATAAATTACTATGCCAAAATGTCATAAATTTTTGCATTATAAACAATTGAGCTCTGAGCCAATCTACATTCATTTATAGTCACAAAGAGTTTAAATATTTTTGTATAAATTCTTGTATATATTCCAAATATGAATATTTAGATTTTTATATTATTTTTATATTTTTCCCATATTTTACTGATTTAATAATTTTATTTTTTAGTTTATTTATATTGTCTTTTATATATAATTTTATTATATT